ATATGTTTTCTTAATATGTGTGAAAACTCTAGAAAATAAAAAACGGAGGGAGTAGTATTTAAGATCAATAATTCTACTTGTCGTTGTACATATATTACAACGATGATAAAAAAAAATGACGAAAAAAATGTGGATACAAAAGTAGACCAAGTAGTTGCAAATCAAATGCAGTTTACAGGTTTATGGAGAACGACAATCAGTGGCACACGATAAAAGGCGGTAAAAGATACAAAATGACAAGTTTTAGACAAGTTCTAACCTCGATCCATCTGTAGTTTAGACTCATGAATCTAAGACGAGTTATAATAGATCTTCTTGTCTTTAATTTTGGTTGTAATGTGAGAAGTTGAACGGATCATGAAGTTTCAGATTATATCTTTTGTGGAAGAGAATGTCAAAAGACAGGGGCCGACTTAAGCTCGCTTTAGTGTCTTGTTTTCAGCAACAGTCCATGAATTTGACAGAACAGAGCATAACAAGTTTTCATGATAACAATGGTCACAAAGATCAGAATCATCGATCGTCCCAAATCTTGTGTCCTTTTCAGTCCTTTATACTTAGAACTATTTTGTTCGCTCCAAATCATTCAAAAGATCAAAATTATTCCCTTTGTGATACATTCAAAGTTGCTAACTTTCTCTGAGCTTGAGCTTGTAAATGGTTATTGCTACANTCCACCCATCAATTACACTTCTTGACTAAACTATAATTGTTTCTATCTTGCCTGTTTTGTGAAATGAAATTGAAAGACAAAAGCTTATTTCTTTTAGAGGGTTCAAAATTCAATTTGTATAGAAAGAATACACAATACTACAAACAAATATAGCCAATTCTACACTCATTTCTACTTCGCCCCTTTGTATCCAATCACTAAAACGCAATTTTGTTTATTCCTAATTTTGAAAAAGAATTTGCAATAAAAAAAAAAAATCAATTTCAAGAAGAAGAAAAAACAGAGTCCATCACTATAGAGTTCTTGTGCCAGCGAGTCCACGATGCAGTAGATTATGAGAGATATGATCCCTCGTATTAACCGCATTCGCAGATCGGAGATTATTCTCCGGCACCGTTACATCATCAAAAACCTCAAACTTAAGCTCCGGCGACATCTCCTCTTTCCTCATCTCACAAATGTTATGCAACACACAACAAGCTCCGAGCACATACGGCAGATCCAGTAGCTTAACCTCCGTCCTTTTCTGCAGACAAGCCCACCTTCCTTTAAGCCTCTCAAACGCTTCAACCGCCGTTTTCTGTATCCCTCCAATACTCTCGTTAAACGCGTGCTGCGTCCACGTCAGATTCTGCCTCGCGTAAGGCACGAGAAGCCAATCCGTCAACGGAAACCCCGCGTTTCCGACGATCCAGCTATCGCGTAGCATCCCACGCGCCGCTCTTTGCCGTGAAAGCGACGATTTCTCTAAGATCTGATCGTCGGTGAGAGATCCTGGGTTTCCGATGCATACGTCGGTGAAGATCCCGTCGGAGTTAACCACTCCTTGGACGGTGATCGAGTACGACGTCTTCTGGTTCCTCTCGGTGTGTCTCTTGTTGAAATAAGCCGCCACCTGGACTTTCGGAGCGATGATCGGGATATGTGTGGTGTAGATCGATCCGACTACGTTTGGGATTTTGTGGATCGATTCGAATTTCTGTTTTGCTGATTGGATCTCTGAATCGGAAGGCCACCGGAGATATTTCGGCATCAGAACGTCGTAGATCGCTCGGCAGACTTCGATGACTAGCTTGTGGCAAGTTGAGATCCCCAGACCGAACCGCTCCGACACGTGGCGGAGAGGTGCTCCGGTTGCTAAACGCCAAACGCAAACGCCCACGCGTTTTGGAGCTGGGATCGCGTCACGGAGCATCGTGTTTTTCTTTGTCACCGTCGCGTCTAGCTCCTCGCAGATCAGATCAAACGTCGATTTGCTCATCCGAAACTCTCGCCGGAACTCTTCCTCCGGAAAGTCTGGTCGACTAACCCGGTCCCACCAATCAGTCGTCCGTTCTTTCACCCATAACCTCCTATGACCCGGTCCAGACCCGGAACCGCTAGCGATATCCGCGGTTTGAACCGGAGGAGGAGCTGCGTCTTCCGCGGAAGCTACCGCGGAAACTGCAGCAGCAACCGCGGATTTTCGAGCGCGTTTCGAACGCGAACTGTCTGTTTCCCCAGCTTCAGAGTAATGACCTTGTAACTGATTGTAGTAACCATCCATTGTATTCACTTTCTTCTTGTGATTAGCTTCAAGAAGAGACTTTTCTCGATTAGTTTCGAAATCCCACTGTTCTTGTTGCTGTTTTGCTTCTTCGTCCAATAACAAAAGCGTCGCGAGTATATCTCCAAACGCAGCCTTATTACTACTACCATTCACAGCTCCTCCTCCTGCTCCAGCTTCTTCGTCTTCCTTTCTTGGGCGTTTCTTGGGATTGTTATTAGTATTGTCGTTACCAAAACCTTCTAATCCAAAACCAGAAGGAGAAGAGTCCATGTCTTGAAATAGACCAAGGAAATGGGAACACTCGTCGTCTTGTAGGTATGGAAATGGGAAAGCAGAGATTTCCATTAAAGGGAGAGAAAAGTTTGATTTATTAAGAGTTCGACGAATTTTGGGTTTGAAAAGTGTTTGACTTGCTTAAGATGTGAAATCAATTTAGCTTCTTCAAGTGTTTGAAAGTTGAAAGAAAATGATTTTTGGGGTTTATGGGTTTGGTTTCAGACATTTATAAAAAAAGGTTTCTTTGTCTGAAAATACAGAGAGAAAGGAAGAAACAAAAAGATGAAGGAAGCGCGTGAAGGTGTGAACGCGGTGAGGGCGGATGGGTTTGACGGTGACTTGACTTTCTTTTTCCAAATTATTTTATTGGATTTTTCTCGTAGAAGTATTATAATTTAGATAAAGTGTTTACTGGTCACTGTTTCATTGAGAGATTGCACCGCGTAAAACTTGTTTGATAATAAAAAGACAAAAAGAAAACATGTTTGATTGATAAAGCGTTACATATCAGATTCTATATGCATACAGCATAGTGCGCAATAATATAACAAGATTGCATTTTATAGTATCAACTATAAAATCTAGGGGAAAAATAGAGTATCCGATCGACTAATAAAAGTTTGGTTTACTAATAGTATTATTGTATCTTATGATAACAAGAATGTATTTTTCTAATACATATATAGACCATATTTTAGCTATGAGAATTGACTATGTTGAGATTAGTAAAATATCTAGTATCTTGTATTTATTTATATTTTAAAGGAGAAACATTCTAGACTAATTTTACTTAGGTGTCATCACCACAA